TGTAGCAACACCATAACCTTCAGGATTAAACGAGCTACCTGTACCGTACTGAAGAGATGCGGCGTATGTTCCAACTTCTTGACCAGTCAAATTATCGATGCATTCAGCTACATATTCTGTTGGTTCAATTGACCATTCAGGTGCATCTGGGTGTTTACCTTTACTGCAATAGTGAGCAGTTAGATGAGTTGGAAATACATAGTCTGGGTCAGGAGCTACATGCTTATATGTAATTTTAGGAGTCGGAATCAGTTTCATCGTATAATTACTTAAATAACATTTGTAATTATTCTGGTTTTGTTCGGTATACGATGAAACCGAAAGATTATTCCTGTTTATATCCAACATATAGCTGAAGTGACAATCATAAGTGCAACCCCATATAGTGATGTTAACAGTTGTTAAGGGTGGCTCATGTTTTACCGTTTGAACATCTCTGACCAATAGGGATGTCGAATAAATAACGCCATCATCGTTAATATGAACCGCCGCATATTCAGAATGTACGACCTGGTCGCACATATTAAAATCATGTTCTACGGTGATCCAATCAGCAAAAACTGCCAATGAAAAATTTAATAGAATGTATAGTAATGTTTTCTTCATGAGTGAAATGACTTTTTTTTCCTTGTCGAATAAATCAGGTAGACCTTATATATCTTGGAAATATCAAAGAGACAACAAGCCTTAAACAATTTCGATATTGATTTTTTTTTTTAATTACTGTAACATTTAATTTCGGAACAGTCGATCGATGTATTACTTCATACAGTACATTTATATGGGGCAGATCGCAACTTGGGGCACAACATTAACATCGTTACATAATAAAATTAATAAACATCATTTATTTTATTATAAAAAAAAAGTTATTTTGTCTGGTGAAACTTCTGAAAAGACTCAAGATATTCTTTTACTCGATGTCGCTGCTTTCTCTCTGGTTATTGAAACTACCGGCGGTATCATGACACCGTTTATGAACGTAATACGCCGAGAAATATCGTGAAGACGATGAGAAAATTGCACAAAATACCACAGGCACGAAATCGTTTGGAAAGTTATACATATAACTTACCGTAAGCGTTTGTTTAATATTTATTGTCAACCATAACTATTCTATTTGCTATTCTAATTATAACAATTATAACGCTATGTTATTCAACTAGATGATCAATTAAATTATTGATGATCTTTGCCAAACAAATGGTTAATAATTTCTTTTTTTTTGCATGCATTATAACAAATCTGTCGTACATTGCATGATGCATTACGAAGTAAAGTTTTTTTACCCTTTTAGAATTGTGTAAAACTTATTTTAAGAAAGGATTTTAGGCCAGCCGATCAACTATAAAGACGGACGAAATTTTTTCTACTTTTAAATTTCTTTTATTTATCTCAACAATCATGTCGAAACAAAAAATGACGAATGCTTATATATTTCAGAAATTATTAATTCAACAGATAACATTAATGTTTTAATTAATAAATTATTCATACTTTTGAATAAAAAGCTAACTTTAGAATTTGAAAAAAACGAAGCAATTTATTAATAATTGCATTGCTCTTACTAATCAAACAACTAATGATATATATAATTGGCTTAAAGAAATCAAAATGAACCAAAAAATGTTTTTTTTCTTGGAGTTTTTATTATTACAATATACTCGATTTAAAAGAAAATAATGGTGAAGGATTTATTAGTTTCTTAAAGGCAGCGGATAATTTTCCTATTACACAACTATATTTAGGTTTATGCTATTAGACCATGCAACTTCGATTTTTCGGTTCACGTCACCCGGCCGGGTCACTTTTTCAAATCCCAACAAAAAAAAAGTTTATATATAAAAAGTTTATCATATGACTATAAAGTGTAATTTTATTGGTAAATTAAAGCTTTAAGTTATGTATAATTCCTTTCTTATTTTCATGCAGTTTCCCAAGCAATACATTGTGCTGAAATTTTTTCTCCAACTAATGTTATTGATGGGCTAAACTTCACTTCAAAATCTGCTTCCCACCAGTCAGGTGATAAATATAGAATCAATATATTTCCAAAAAAATCTTTTATTTTCGTTTTTTTTTTTCAACAGTAAACCTTTCCAATCCTTCAAAACTTTAAAATTATAACTTATTTTTATATGTATAATATTTTTGAAATTAAATGTAATTGTCGTATGATTAGGCCGGGCAAAGAAAAATTTTATAATTTTTAGATAAAATTTTAAAATTGACACGGTCACCCGGTTTTTTTTTTTCTTTTTCATATGTAAGTTTTTTTATATGTATTATTATATTCTATCGTCGCCTCTTTTAAACAAAATCTGATATGCCGATTTTATTATGTATGGTCACATGATAAAAATTTTATTATAAAAAAAAAAAAATCCTGAATTTTCGTAAACTGACACGGCCGGGTCACAAAAATCTGAAAATTTACTTTGCACGGACCTTGTTCCCTTAAAGATTGACCAATCAGATGTCATAATATTTATATATAAACTTTTTTTATTAATAAAAAATAATCATTAATAAACTCCGGGTCTCCGGGTCGATTTTAAAATTTCAATGTTACGTGAACCGAAAAATCGAAGTTGCATGGCCTTATGAAGGATTTGAAACTGCAATCGATAAAAATTTTGCATTTTTTTGGCATCAAAAAGCTGCTGAAAATGAAATTAATTCTGCAATGAATAGCTTAGCAATATGTTATAGAAATGGTGAAGGAACAGAAAAGAACTTAGAAAAGGCTTTTTATTGGTATCAAAAAGCTGCTGAAAATGAAGAAGAATATGCAATGGAGAATTTAGCAACATGTTATAAAAATGGTAAAGGAATAGAAAAGAACTTGGAAAAAGCCTTTTATTGGTATCAAAAAGCTGCAAAAAATGAAAATTTATTACAAGATTCTTATATTAAAGAATATATTAAAAAAATTACATCAATTGAATATATAAATAGTCTGGAAAATGATAATTATAATATATGTAATATTTGTTTTAAAAAAAAGAAAGCCTTTGAAATATTACAGAATTTGTATATTTTGTTATAAATCTAAATTATTATATATACCAAGTGGAAATAAAATTATTGATGAATTTATTAAATATACACAGATTAATTTTATTCAAAAATCTAGTAAAATGTTATTTATTCCTTTTAATCAATTTCAAAATATTGACATAATTGATAAAAGTGGATATAGTAAAGTTTATAAAGCTATTTAGATTAATAGTTTACTATATTGAAATAAAGAAAAGGAAATTTTTGAATATAATAATTTTAATATGATAGTTACTTTAAAACAAATTAATAATTCTAAAAATATTACTATAAAAGAATTAAATAAGGTATAGTATTTTAATTTAATTTAGTAATTTATAATATTAATATTCTTTATAAATTTAGCTTTTGATAATATATAATACTAATTTAAATGATGGAGTTATTTTTTCTTTACTTAATTTAAATAGATATTATAGAATTATTTCTTATATAGCTTCAGAGGTATTTAAAAGGTTAAAAAACAATAAATATACTAAATATTCAGATATTTATAGTTTTAGTATGATTATATAAGAATTAATAATAGGTAGAAGACTTTTTTGAGATCAAAAGTATGATATATATCTAATTATTCAAATTTGTGATGATATTTATCTTTCTATTATCATAAACGTACATAAAGAATATATTGAATTGATGTAAATATTTTTATAGAAATCTGGTATTTTGTAACCTAGCAATCACGTAATCTTTGAAAATATTTCAAAATTCATATCTAACTTGTAATGACATCTTTTGCTAATTTTCGATAATATTTCATTAAAGATTTGATAAAAGCTAGTAAATAGTCAGAACAACAAATATTAAAAAATAGTAAATAATATTTAACATCAGCTAATATTAATTAATCTGTAAAATTTTGCAATGTATCTACGAGTATATAATGATAAATTAACTAACTTGCTTAAATATTTTTTCATAAATAGATTATTCTTTATTTACTATTATTTACTATTATTAATGTAGCTTTTTTTATTAACAAATTGTAAAACTAAATTTAAATATAAAAAAAGAATCAACTAAAAGCAATAAAAATTAATAAAATTCTATTAGCAGTAAAATTATAAGCAATAAAAATAACTTTAAAAATATTAAAAATTAAGTGCTAATTATTTTAAAATCACAAATTGTTAGCGAAAATTTTGCCACTTTGTAATAGTACAGTAATAGTTTTTATTAATTTATCTAAAGTTTTTGTTCCTTCAATATTTCTTTCTTTATAGTTAATCACAAATGCATGTTAGACAAATCTACATAAATGTGGTAATAAATAAATACTAAGCCTTTAATTCATTTATATTCGTTACATTTAGCCAATAATTTAATATATAAATTGTAGTATATTTGTTTACAAATTTGGTAATTTCATCCTTTTTAAAAACTTAATTATATTTCTATAATTTAAAAAAATTAGTATCAACTAAAAAATTAGAAAAAAAATTAATATTACATGACTAATATGCTAACTGTAATATTTATTCTTTGAATGATTTAATCAATTCTATAATACTATTAATCAACTTATTATGTGAATCTTCAAAGTTCTTATTAACTACTTTTAGATATTCTATATCTTTAGCTGAATTTAAGTCATACTTGAAAATTTAACATACTAATTCTTAAATTACATTTTTTAGAGGATATTATACATGAAAAAAGAAACATTTCAATTTATCTATGTAATTACAATAAGCCATTACCTATTATATAATTTTGTTAATAATTTGCAAAACATTCAATTTGAAAATCTTTTATTTATTTTATCTTTCTGATTTTATATCATATTTGACAAATTTGAAAATAGGTGATAATACAATTCACCTTCTATTTGTAAAAAATATCTGTGTTAATAAATACATATTATTTGCCAGTTACAAAATATTTAGATTTGTATCTTCCTAGTGATTCAGTAGAGAATGAGATACTTATAGTATTAAATGAGTATTTGAAAGTTTGCAATTAGGCTTTTAAATTATGAACTTTTTTGATTAGATAATTGATTATTGATCAAAGTTTCTCAATCTCTATTATATATGATAAATGCATAAAATTAACAAAATTAATTAGTAAATTATCTCATGTTATAATTTAATTAAACACATTATACTATTGCTTTTCAAATTTTTTTTCTGATTTTTTTCAGCTAAAGCTTCTATTATAACAGAATCAGTTATAACTTCTGCTTCTTCTATTATTACTATTCAGGCTGCTATTATGACTTTATATATTACTTCTGCTATACCTAGTAAAACAGCTATAGCTACGACCCATATTTAAATTAAATGAAAAGTAAATAAATGCAAAAATAACCATTAATAATTTACATGTAAGATTGGCATCTCTAGTTATTATAAATAATATCACTATTTAATGATTGATTATTTTTAATTATTTAATTTATCTTTATTAATATTACTTGATGAGTCTAATTATTATCATTATATATTATATGATATTTTATCAACATATAGGACCTTTGTAATAGAAAAGGAAAAATAGCTGAAAAAAATCAATTTACTTTATATGCTAAATATAATTTTTATTTAGGTCAAAATATGTTCAGATTTAGCATTAATTCAATTTTATTTTTTCTAGCTATTTTTCACTTTTTCTATTGCAAAGGTCTATATAACTCTCTATAAAATTTCTTGATGATAATATGATTTTAAAAATATCTGATATAAAATTCTATGCTTAATTATTTATCCTATATCTATTTATAATTAATCTATATAAATTCATATATAAAATTTATAGTACAGTTATTTATAAAAACAGATAATTGAATTAGCTTACAATTTAATTAAGTTTATATATTCTATTAATTTATAAAGTTTATTATTAATTCTTTTCAATTTGTTTAATTAATAAAGGATTAAGTTCATTAGTCTAATTGTATTTAATTACCTATTTTTCTTATTTAAAACTTTTCTAATTATATTTCAAAAGCAACATTATATTTTAGTTACATTATTCCTTATATGCAATTAATTTTAAAAAAATAAGAAGACAGGTTCTGAAAAATTTTTGACTAAATTAAAAACTTAATGAATTTTAATTTAATAATATCAAAACTAAAATGCAATAAAATTAAAATTTTATTAAAAAAGTTCTCAGAACTTGATTTTTCCTAGCATATTAAAGGTTTGAATTAGATTTGACCTTTAGATTTAAAACTGAATACAAAATTTATTCAGAAATAAACTGGATTTATCTAGATTTATTAAAATTAAATTATATTGCATTTCAAATGATCTAATATTATACTAAATATCATGAAAGTGATGTATATTAAATATATAATACACATATCATTTGATTGACTTTATAATACATATATCAAATAGTTTACTTTTTATTACATATATTATATAGTCTTCTTTTTATTACTTATATTATATTATCTAGTTTTTATTATATGTATTATCAAAAAATATAGTATAGTACTAGTTAGCAATTTTATATAAATAGAACTGTAAATTGATCTTGAGTTAACAAAATTTGATCAGATAAATTTCTGAATAAGTTTTGAGACTAAATTTATAATTCTACAGTTTAATAAAGTTACTATTTTACACTTTTAACTTTCTTCTTATCTTCATTATAGGATTGATTGTGATAATCTACTATACAAGTGAATCATAATAATAAATTATATTATTTGTTAATCATTTATTTCTCTTAAGAAAAGCCTTCAAAATAATTTTAATCTTAAATTTATTAGTTTTATTAGCTTAGTTTTGAAAGATTCTAGGTCTAATACCAGATATGTAATATGATAAGTATATTAATAAAAATCCAAAAAATTCTTTGTTAGCCATTGTAAATCAAATTCAGTCAAATTCTAATTAAAAAATTAATATAAAATTTGAAGCTCTTTTAAAAAAGAAGACATACATGAAATCTATAAAGGATATGAAAGGGTTAGAAGTAATGACATTCAAATTTTATTTCTAATTAAATATTTTTAAATTTGGAATATAATTTCGTTAATTTGATTTAATACCATATATATAAGAATTAGCACTTATCTATTATAAATAATCCTTTTATAAAATTTACAGAGTAATTGTATCTCTAAATTTGGAAATTGAACATGAGAGTATAAGTCCTTTTTGTTTGAAAAATGTACTGAATATAATGAAGAATAAATCAATGTTAGAGATTAAGGATGATAATTTATAATATTTTGTAAAATATCACAACTGTCATAAAATTTTGTGATAATCACAAAATTTTCTATTACACTATATACTGTAATTTTACAAAATTTGGATCCATATTATTTGTATACACAAATATGCATAATAAAACAAATAATATGCAGTATAGATAATCTTTTTAACATGTAAATCTATTAAAAAATCATAATTATAGAACTTTGTTAAATGGTATCTAGATGAAAAGTTAGTTCTATAACAGCTTATACATAAGTTGCTGAATATGAAGAAGTATTTCGCATTGATAATGATTTACTTTTTTGTAATTATTGTGATTTTTCAGTAAAATAGAAGTATAAATTAACAATAAATGCATATTATATAAGTAAAAAACATATTTATAAAAAAAAAATTTGAAAACAAAAAAAAAAGCTAAAAGTTAACAAATATTACAATTATCTTTACTTGCCTCAGAATCAAAAAAAAAGTAATAGAAGATTTAATAGAAGCATTTGCTTATGCTAATATTCCATTATAAAAAGTGAATCTTTTACTTACTTTTTTTAAAAAAACACCTTAAGAAAGAGGAACAATTTCTTAAGCAATAACTTTGTGCTAATTATACTTACCCAGAGTTTTTAATAAACATGTTAATATATTAAAAATAATTATTAATACTTTTTTTTTTTTTTTAAAAGTGCGGTAGTTTTGCCAAATCTTTATTATGATAAGAGTAAATATTTATATATTTATAGATAAACTAAAAACAAAAATCTCGTATTTTAAAAAAGACTGATCTTGCACTCCTCCAAAATCATAATTATTAATGCTAAACCTGTTTGTATTATTATGGATGAAAGCAGTGATGATTGTGCGCAAAGTAATAATAAGGGATAAAACCCTTTAATAACAGTCGAAACTTAGATAAAACTATATTAAAATTATAATAAGGGATACGATAAAATCCTTTCGATATGACAAAAGCTGAAACTATCAAAACTATATTAAAAATATAAAAAAGGGTATAATGAAATTATTTTGAGGAGGTTTCAGCAGGTATCTATAGCGTGAAGTGTAGTTAATACCCTTTTTACATATCATTCAGATACTAAATTAGTATCTGTTAGTTTTTTAGAATAAGTTAATAATTCAACAATTGTATAGACACTCCTTTCTATATTACTTTTTTATAATATTCCTTTGAATCTTCCATTTTTATTTCTCTCTGATTCTGCTGTATATATGAAAAAGTGTTATTAGGATGTTTTAAAACTAATTATACCAC